TATATGGACTCTGACCCTGTCACACATTGCCTGGCCTCAGCCGCTCTCAAAAAACATGGAATACAGGACACTATGACCTTTGTCATCTTTTCTCTTCCATGATTGCAAAATTAGTACCAAAGGAAGACATTGCCAAGTCATGGTGTCAGCTCAAGATGTATTTTTACTCCATTGGAGTACAGCTGTGTTAGCTTTTGTGTGCTGACCTTGAAACTTCTCTTAAGTAGTTGCTTTGAGGAGCAGGGAATGCCTTTAATTTAGGTTTTCTTCTGTTAAATGCATTTGATTTTCACAAGACAGCCTCCATTGGATTTTTCCCTGAAGGCACCTTTCCTGGTGTCCTACTGTAGCACAGTTTTCAGTGCTAGGTACAATTCTGTCTTAAAATTCCTACTGCCAAACAGCTTGGTTTATTATCTTTAAATTCAGCTTTACTCAGGTTCTCAGGATGCAGGCAGAATGAAGATAGATTTCTGGTCAAATGTGACATAAATGACCTCTTGGATAGTCATTGTTTTCCTCTGAAAATACATGGGCTGTGCCCTGCTGTTCATGCTTTTCTCAGCATTCTTTTTCCCCCCTAAGATTTATTTATTTATTTTGTAAAATGTTCTGTCTGCATGCATGCCTTCACACCAGAAGAGGGCAGCAGATCTCATGGTTGTGAGCCACCGTGGTTGCTGGTAATTGATTTCAAGGCCTCTGGAAGATCAGCCAGTGTTCTTAACCTCTGAGCCATCTTTGCTGCAGCCCTTCTCAGCATTTTTGTCTTACAGGCTCCCAAATTTCCAAACACTTCCATATTTCTACCCCCTAACCAGTTCCAAAGACATGGAAGACAGGCTTGTCATAGCATTGGCCTCACATCTTTTATTTATTTATTTATTTATTTTTTTATTTATTTATTTATTTATTTATTTAAGATTTCTGTCTCTTCCCCGCCACCGCCTCCCATTCCCCCCCCCCAAATCAAGTCCTCCTCCGTCATCAGCCCAAAGAGCGATCAGGGTTTCCTGCCCTGTGGGAAGTCCAAGGACCACCCACCTCCGTCCAGGTCTAGTAAGGTGAGCATCCAAACTGCGTAGGCTTCCACAAAGCCAGTACGTGCTATCGGGAACTCACCAAGGCCAGCTGGCCTGGGTCTGAAAAAGCCTGGGATAAAACCGGACTCGCTGAACATAGCGGACAATGAGGACTACTGAGAACTCAAGAACAATGGCAATGGGTTTTTGGCCTCACATCTTAATACCAGGCTCTGTCTCAGTTGCTTTACTGCTATGATAAAATACCCTGACAAAAGCAACTTAAGGGAAAAAGAGTTTTGTTTGTCTTACACTTCCAAAGTCATATAGCCTGTCATGGCAGAGACGACATGACAGCAGGCAAGGGAGGCTGCTGGGTAACAGGAGCAGGAAGCTATTGTTTACGTTGCATCTATACTCAGGAAGCAGAACGTGAACAGGAAGGACAGACTGAAAAGCCTCAAGACCTTCCCCTCGTGACCTACTTCTTTGCAGTGAGACTCCAACTTCTAAAGGTTCTGTAATCCTTCCAAACAAGGCCACTATCTGGGAAGCAAGTATTCAAACAAACGAGCCAATGGGAGCACATTTCACATTCAAACCACATCTCTACTTCTGGTTTCGCTTGCTTTTATGATTTTTCACTGTACGTGATGATTGATTAAAGTACCAAATCTTGCATCTGTGCTCAGTGTTTGACCTTAATTTTGTGCTTCCTAAGGATGATTTGCCTATGATGTAAGTTTTTTAATGTGCTGCTAGTTGTTTTGAGATAGGGTCTTTCACTTTGTAGACCTGGCTGGCCTGGAACTTACTGTGTAGATCAGGCTTGTCCTTGTAGTAGCATTGAGAATACTGATAGGGGGCTGGAGAGATGGCTCAGAGGTTAAAAGCATTGCCTGCTCTTCCAAAGGTCCTGAGTTCAAGTCCCAGCAACCTCATGGTGGCTCACAACCATCTGTAATGGGGTTTGGTGCCCTCTTCTGGCCTGCAGGCATACACACAGACAGAATATTGTATACATAATAAAATAAATAAATAAATATTTAAAAAAAATGAGAATACTGATAGAATTTGTTTGATATGTTATGCTAACAATTACTTTTATAGTGTGCTTTTCATAATTCTGTTTATTGTCTTACTTTGGGCATTGTCTGGTTTTTCAATTTTGATCAGTATTTTGACTTTTACTTTCAACCTATGTGTTAGTTGATGGATTTATTTTATGCTTTTTTATTTAATAGCATAATTTCCTTCATTATTAGAAAGTAGAATATTAATATACTTTTCTGTTTTTTTCTCTCCAAGATAGGTTTCATTGGGTAGCAATCTTGGCTGTCCTGGAACTCACTTTGTAGACCAGTCTGGCTTTGAACTCACAGAGATCTGCCTGCCTCTGCCTCCTAAGTGCTGGGATTAAAGGCATGCACCACCACTGCCTGGCTATATTTTTCTTTTTTCAATGTAAAAACACAGTTCTCAACTGGGCGGTGGTGGCGCAAGCCTTTAATCTCAGCACTCGGGAGGCAGAGGCAGGCGGATCTCTGTGAGTTCGAGGCCAGCCTGGTCTACAAGAGCTAGTTCCAGGACAGGCTCCAAAGCTACAGAGAAACCCTGTCTCGAGAAACTAAAAACAAACAAACAAACAAACAAACAAACAAAAAACAAAATACAGTTCTCACCTGAAAAAGGATAAGAGTTTATTCTGAAGCCAGATATGTGTGACCATGGCCTAGAACACAGATTGAGGTTACCCCAAGTTCCGTGTTCCAGTGTGGTAGCAGTTTCATCACATTTCTATGATAACAGAAAAAAGAAAGTCATAAATCAAAGCGTTTTAAAAAAAAACATTGGTAGATACATTAAGTAGGCGGTTATATATCAAAGTAGCAAAATCTCAGTTATAGGTTTTAAATACTATATGATGGCTTTTAGACTTTTGGGTGGTGAAAACTTGGGTTTTTGTTAAAATATTCCAAAAGGATTTTATCTGTTAACCATAGGATGTTAGGTCCAACACATAGGTAGGCAAAGAATGGGTCTTTACGGGGTAAAGATAGCCCAAGATAAATTGTAATTAGGACCCAAATTTTAATCAGTACATCAGCCTTTGTAGACAACTTCTTTCCAGAAAAAGTGTGTTTCTCATTCTCACTTTTATATTATTTATTTATTAGTGTTTATGACATAGAATGTGTGTAGGGTAGAGGACAGCTTTGTGGAGTGAGTTCTCTTCCACTGTTCTGTGCGTTTCAGAGATCTAACATAGGCCATCAGGCTCTCATGACAAGTGAAAGCCATCTCACTGGCTCCTTTTGTATTTGTCTCTAATTTTGTTTTATTTTTAGATCTAAAATTAAGTATTTTAAATATTTTCTGTTTTCTTTCCCCCATTTTTTCTCAAATCACTTTTGCTTGTTTACTAGATTTGTTAAAAAGGTGTTACAAGTATAGCATTTCCTGAGTTCTTAAATGTTTTATGATGTTTGTTTGATGAGATACAGAATCCTTTGCTTAAACATTTTTGCCTTGTTTTTATTTTTTAAAGATTTTTTTTATTTATAATATATAGTATTCTGCCTGCATGTATGCCTGCAGGGCAGAAGAGGGCACCAGATCTCATTACAGATGGTTGTAAGCCATCGTGTGGTTGCTGGGAACTGAACTCAGGACTTCTGAAAGAGCAGCCAGTGTTCTTAACCACTGAGCCACTTCTCCAGCACTGTCTTATAATTCTTTAGTTTATTGCCTTTAGGCTTTGTTTGTTTGTTTGTTTATATTTTTGCTTTTGTAAGCTGATTTTTGGGATATCTACTAACTTTCCTTTTGAGGGTCAGTTATTGTGTCTGTCATCTGAATGTTTTAGGAATTTTTCTTTTATTTGCTTAGTATTTGCTTAGCAATTTCTCTGGGAAATTGATTCTTAGAGAATGATAGACACTTTTTTGATTCACCCATCTCCCCACCTGAAAGTTTTCTTGGGCTACATTGAATATTTTGTTTGTCTTCAGGATCCTCAAACATGTATCATCTTTGTCTCTCTTCTCTTTCATCTGCTTTCTCCTAGGCTTTTTTTTTAAATTGCTTTTTCTATTTCTTTTTTGGTTATCTTATTTGGTGTTTTTCAGTGCTACTTATTAAGTTTTGTTGTTATTGTAGTTTTAAGACAGGGTTGCTACATGGTTCTGGCCTTCCTGGAACTCACTGTATAGACCAGACTGGCCTCAAACTCATATTACCTACTCTGTCTCTCAAGTGCTACTTTCTAAGTTTTGATGTGGAATGGGGTGGGTATTGATAAAGTAAAAGAATTCCTTTACTTTATTTCTTTTCACCAACTAGTGGTCAAAGAATGATTTACAATAAATAAATATATACTGAATTCAGACAATTATTGAATCAAGAGTCTCTGATCTTGGGTAGATGTCTTGGGAAGCTTTTATATGATTCTATATATATGGTAGGTAATCACATCAGCATATTATTACACAATTTCATTTTTATGGTTTGATTGGTTCTAGATCTTGCATGCTCTCTTTTTTAAATAAAAAAAAAGGATTTCCTTATGTGTACCATTTTAAGAGTCACTGATAATTCAACGGCTTCCACTAATCAAAAGAAATATGGAAGAGGGGCTGGAGAGATGGCTCAGTGGTTAAGAGCATTGCCTGCTTTTCCAAAGGTCCTGAGTTCAATTCCTGGCAACCACATGGTGGCTCACAACCATCTGTAATGAGGTCTGGTGCCCTCTTCTGGCCTGCAGACATACACACAAGACCAGCATGGTCTACAGAGCTAGTTCCAGGACAGGCTCCAAAGCCACAGAGAAACCCTGTCTTGAAAAACCAAAAAAAAAAAAAAAAAAAAAAAAAAAAAAAAAAAAAGAAAAAAGAAAAAAAAAAGAAAGAAATATGGAAGAAATGGAGAAATTACTATTTTAAATGTCATTTACTCTGATCATATCTCTTGTTTACATAGGAAGCAAAAGAGGAGAATGGATTGCAGAAAATGAAGACAAAACAGTCGAACAGATCAAAGTGTTTGGCTAAAAGAAAAATTACACGTATGTTTTCATCTTTTTAGTTGAATTGATAGCGTTTCATTAGTAAAAAATTTTATTTTTTTCTTTTTCTTTATTTTTTTCTTTTACTTTTTCAAGTTTCTTAGGGAATTACTTTCTGCTTACACATTTGACTTGCTAGAGGAAGACTGTTGAAATTTTAAGTGTGATCTTCATGACTAGGCACTGTAACTAGACCCTTGATTCTCTACCCAACACTTAAAGATTTTCTTTTATGTGTGTGAGTGCTTGCTTGTATGTGCCTGGTACCAGAAGAGAAGGTTGGATCTCCTGGAACTGGAGCTACAGATGATCTGAGCTACTGTGTGAGGTTGGGACTGATCCAGGTGCTTTGCAAGAGCAGCAAGTACTCTTAATCATTGAGCCATGGAGAGAAAGGGAACACTGCACTCACTGACAGCCAAATAAGATAGCACCAGAAACCCAGCATTCTACAAATACCTTGGGAACTATTATCTGAAATATAAAACCATTGTGTGTGAATGCACTTGGAAGTACTTACGTTTGTGAGCTGCTCATTTTTGTTAAGAAACTAAGTAAAACTGTTATTGATCCTGATTAAAGGATTCAAAGAAGAATTATTTGCTGTATGTTGCTATATAAGACTTATAACCTAAAATCTCTTATACCTCTGGAAATAAGAAAGAGACGTCAGATTTTAACTCTAAGGAGTGATAAATGATGAAACTGAAGTTATTTCTATTTTCAAGTTATAGTTTTTCAATATTATATTTGGAATATAATCCCTGCCATTGTATATGCTTGTTATATTTTATGCCATTGTCCTATTTAGGTTTCTTTTGTTGTGACGAACACCATGATCAAAAAATAACTTGGAGAGAAAAAGGGTTTATTTGACTTATACTTCCATATCATAGTCCATCATTGAGGGAAGTCAGGGCAGGCACTGGAAGAATGCTGCTTCCTGTCTTTCCATGGCTTGCTCGTCTTGCTGTTTTACCCAGCTCTGGATGCCTGCCTAGGAGTGGTGCCACTTACAGTGGGCCAGACCCTCTCACATCAATCATTAATCAAGGAACTGCCCCCATAGACTTGTTTATAAGACAATTTGATGGAGGCATTTTCTCAGTTGAGGTTCTCTTTTTCCAGATGATTCTTTCTTGTGTCAAATTGACAAAAAAACCAACCAGCACAACCGTATAAAATAAATTGAAGGTAAAATTAAGATTAGAAAAGAGAACTAAGTTATAGATAAGGAAATAGTGTGAAAAAGTGTATGCCAAGAAAATAAATAACTTGAACTTTGTAGATAAATTCTTAGGAGTACCCACACCAGAACTTACTCAAGAAGCAGAAAATAAAAATAGAACTAATATAATAAAAAATTGAATTAAAAAACAATAGCTATAAACAAAAAAGATTGGTTTGATGCCTTCATGGTTGAACTTTAGTCAAGTTCAAATATGAAAGTCAAGAATAAAGAAATATTAGCAGCAGTTCTTCATAAACTCCTACAGATATTAGATAATGAGAGACTACTGCCTTACTTACTCCTTAAGTCTAATACCAACCATGTCCATGGGGAGATAGTACAAGAAAATTAAGGACTGTTATTTCTTTGGAGTATAGATGCAAAAATCTCATCATTGCTTGGAATTGAATTCAAGGCTTAATTTTAAGTAAGTACTCTCCCAGCTGAACTATATCTTCTGTCTTTTTTCATACAAGCATCATACACCTACAAATTTTGCTGTAAAAATTCCTTTAGCTTTACCTCTTAAGTTTTGAAAATGTGTATCTTCATTTTCTTTCATCTCAGAGTTTTTCATTCTCTAATGTTCTTTGTTTATTTATGGCATCCTGGATGTGTTCAGAGATACAGTGTCCAATATCTTATTTTCTAAGGATAGTAATAATTATTAGTATTTTTGTTATTACTTTTTCATATTTTACTTCAGATATTAAACTTATTTTATTTTAGAATTATTAAAGGTTTTTTCTTTGTTACATGGTAGATTGTCTTTTGATTGCTTAGGTTTAAAAGGAGGAGATCTAAGAACTGATTTGAAACATATGTATCAATGGGGGCACCTGTGTGTATATTTTTGACTGTCTGCCCTGCTCTGTGCACCTATGTGGGGATGTGTAGACCATCAATCTAACATGTCAAGATCATCTTTGAAGCTTAAATTTTTTTGCAGCATTTTAAAATTGAATTTATTTTTTTATAATTTCACACATATATATAATGCATTCTGATCGTATTCATTCCTACTTCTCTTATCTCTGACTCTCATCAGTCTTGCTCCCTCCCTACAAATCCCTCTCCCACTTTCATATCTTTTTGTTTTGTTTTTTTTGTTTTGTGACTATATTAGTCTGGGTTCTCCAGAGGAACAGAATTGAAAGAATGAGTGTGTGTGTTTGTGTGTGTGTGTATTAGATTTATTAGAGTGTCTTGCAGGCTGTGATCCAGTTAATTAATTCAACAATGACTGTCTCCCAATGGAAAGTCCAAGAGTCCAGGAGTTGTTCAGCCCATGGGGCTGGGTGTCTCAGCTGGTCTCCAGTATACTCTAGAAGTAGGCTCTAATGCCAGTGAAGGAATGCCCCAGCAACAGGGTAGATGAACTTGCCAGAGAGAATGAGGGCAAGCCGGCAGAAAGCAAAAGCTGCTTTCCTCCATGTCCTTAATACAGGCTGCTATGAGAGGTGTGGCCAGATTTAGGGACCATCTTTTGATCTCAAATGATCTGGATTTAAGATAGGTCTTCCTACAGATAGGCCTAGCTGCTTGGGTTTTTAGATGTAGTCAAGTTGACAACCATCACAGCGACCTACTGGTTTATTAACTAGGGCGATCCTCATGAAGATGAGTGTAGAGCTAGTCTTTGGAGTATGGGCTGGCTACACTACTGAAAATATAACTCATCTAGCATGTATCATTTCCTTCTGTTGAAGGCATTGAATGAGGGTCTGGAAATGCATTTGCTGTGGTTTAATTCATAAAGATATTGCAGTGGATTCTAGTTCAATTTTATGCCAGTAGATCCACCCCCTCCCCTGGTTTGCTACTGATTTCTTTTGATCCAACCCTAGGAGTGTTGGGTAGATTCTTTGCTGTTATAAGAAGTATTCTAGCTCATTTGTACATTTCATGACTTGGAATCAGCCATTTTGCTAGTGTACTACATTTTATAGACTTGGAATCAGTCATTTCACTAGTGTACTACAATTGCTGTTAGTAGGAAATAATGTTTGATGATCAGAATTTGATAACTACGGATTTGTTAAAATGAATAAATTAGAGATTCTGAGAGCTGGGGATATATGTGGTTCAGTTGATGAGAATGTTTGCTTAGTGTGCATGAAGTTCTGGTTGAATCCCCGTCACTATATGAAGTAAGTGGTGTGTGTGTATGATCCTAGTGTAACTATAGGGTTATCCTCAAGACCAGATCCTGTCTGGGGAAAAAAAAAAACAAAACGCAAAGATTCTGAAGAGTAAAATTGCTCTGATTAAATATTGAGCATAAAGCAGTGTGGTATTTAGCAAAAAGCTCTATAGTGGTTTCATTCAGCAGTTACTAATTTCCATGTACTCTTATGTGCTAGAGATACACTAATGAACTGTATAGGCAAACACTATGCCTTTATGAGGGCTTATACTCTGGTTAACGTAGGGTTTTTGTAATGCTGCCAATAATCTTGACCACACCATACCTTGATTGACTTTCCTTACTAGATTACAAATCATCCTAAATAATTTAGAGTATTATCAGTTGACAGTTTAATGATTCTGTTTTTTTTTTGCCATTGTGCTAATTTGTTTCCTGGTATTCTTCTTTTCCCTACACTCTTACAGAGATGTCAGAAGAAGAACAATTTGCTTTGGCTCTCAGAATGAGTGAGCAGGAAGCTAGGGAGGTGAATAGCCAGGAGGAGAAAGAAGAGGAGCTCTTGAGGAAAGCCATTGCTGAAAGCCTGAATGTAAATATATACTGTGTTGAGTTTGTGGGTTTTATTAATAATGTTCTTAGTTACTTGGTGGTTGGTATAGTTATATTGGAAATGAGCTATGGTAGTTTATAGGTTTTTTGACTAATATATCTCAGTACTTCTATTTTTAAAATCCGTGTTGTTGAATTTCTGGTTAATCCAGTTGGAAGTGTTTTTGTTACTGTATGAGTTTGCTTCCACTCCACAGATTTTTCAGTCAGTGGCTTAAAAGAATCATAGTAAGTGGGCAGCTTCTGAAGAGTTATAGAATACCAAGAATTTCAAAGACCAGGAATTCTTACCTCCCCTCATTTGTGGGGCCAGCAAAGAAAATGAGAGAAAGAGTGGACAGTTTTAAAAATAACCAAATAAGGGGCTGGAGAAGTGGCTCAGTGGTTAAGAGCATTGACTGCTCTTCTAGAGGATCTGGGTTCAACTCCCAGCACCCACATGAGGGCTCACAGCTGTAACTTCAGTTTCAGGAGACCTGAAACTTCCCACGGCAAACATGACAAACTAATGCACATAAAAAACCAAATAATATTAAATTACTATTTGAATACATGCAATAGAAATTATTTTAAATGTTAAGGATACTTGCCAATAGCAGATTCTGAGCCATCCTTGATTCTATTTATTTTTTAGCTCGTTTGTTTGAGCTGGAATTTCCTAGAGTTGAAAGAGCTGACTTTGAACTTGTAAGTTTCAAGCATTCCCCTACTTCAGCCTTCTGAAAAGCTTAGGACTACAGACATGTATCACCATGTGTATATATATATGTCCAGTTTGAATCATTTATACTATATACCCTTTATATTAGAAACCATATAGTAAATATATATTGACATTGACTTCTTGTTGGGGAATGTTTTAATTGAGGAGCTATATTTTGAAGAGAAACTTCTAGGGACAGTGCCTGCCATTTTTGTTCTTCCTATGACTCTTCGTATACAGCTATTTTAATAATGAACCTGGTTTGGTACGGGATCACTTGTTTCAGAGTTGCTGGTCTTCTGATGCTTCTGCTACCAGTTCTCAACCTCTGGCTATTGGATTATCTTCACATTCCCATCAAGAGAACACCAAAGATTCTGGAACCACTGAAGGCATGTCTTCCTGTTCTGACTCCTTCCACTCATCAAGTATAACTATACCACAGGGATCTTCTGCTGAGAGTGGTGACAGAGATGCCCCAAATCCTTGTTGTGATATAAAAGAGGTTCAAAAGCAAATAGTTGAAATTTCTTTAATATCCAGCATACTTTTATCTTCAAGAAAAAAACCACCCTTTGGCTAAAGTAAAAGAAGGGCTTTTTGTAACTTCATTTTGTAATTTTTGGTAAGTGATTGCTTACCAAGTTGTCTTAATTGAAAATTAAAATTTTTGTCCTTAGCCCTACTTTTTCTCAAATACTTACAGGCATATCGCAGCTGGTACCTCCATCACTGTTTAAAGACTCACATATCAGTCAGGGAAACGAGGCTGAGGAAAGAAAAGAGCCCTGGGACCACAATGAAAACACTGAAGAGGAGCCGGTCTTTGGCAGCTCAGGAAGCTGGGACCAGTCAAGCCAGCCAGTGTTTGAGAATGAGAGCGTTAAATGTTTTGACAGATGTACTGGGCACTTGGCTGAGCACACAAAGTGTGGGAAGCCACAGGAAAGTACTGGGAGTGGTTCTGCTTTTCTCAAAGCTGTCCAGGGTAAGGGGGACACATCTAGGCAATGTCTTCCTACCCCAACAGACACCAAAGGTCTCCAGGACAATGGGGGCACTGTGCACTACTATTGGGGCATTCCATTCTGCCCTGCTGGAGTAGATCCTAACGAATATACCAGTGTCATTCTCTGCCAGTTGGAGGTTTATCAGAAGAGCCTGAAAATGGCTCAGAGGCAGCTTTTTAAAAAAAGAGGGTTTGGGGAACCAGTGTTACCTAGACCTCCTTTTCTGATCCAGAATGAATGTGGCCAAGAAGATGAGACTAGTGAAAAAAATGAAGGCATCTCAGAAGATATGGGAGATGAAGCCAAAGAGGAAAGGCAGGAATCTAGGGCATCTGTCTGGAACTCAGAAACCAAGGATTTTCAAAAAAGTTCAACTAAAAGCTTGAAACAGGAACTTTTGTTGGAGGAAGAACCAACAACCAGTCATGGTCAGGTAAGGATCAGTGATGCTATAAGGATTATTTATTTGCAGATAAAGTTAGGATTATTTTAACCATTATTTTATAATCTTTCCCCTCTATCTGCTTATTAAAACAATACATGCTTACCATATAAAATGAGAAAAGTGCAGAACAAGAAAAGAACCTGGGTGTGGCGCTACACACCTATAATCCCATCACTTAGACTTAGGTAACCTGGCCAGCCTAGGCTACATTGTAAAACCTTGTCTCAAAAAAGAAAAAAATTATAATAATTACTTGCAGTCCAGCCACTAAGAAGAAATCATCATCACTTCTAAATGTACAAAACACATTGGACTTCATGCATGCTAGACAAGCACTGACAACTTAGCTCCCTGCCTTTTATTTATACAAATGGTAGTTTACACATTCTGCCCTTTTTTATTTGGCAATTCTGCCATCATTCCATAACAATATTCAATTTATCCCCCTTTATTTGGAGATATGGGATATACTGTATTTAGATAAAACATATATTATTCAGTAGCCGACTGGTGGGCATGTAGGTTGTCTCTAACATTTGCTTTGAACAGGAAATTTCATTTACAGGGGATAGGATAATTTATTATACAGTGGTGGAACAAAGGATGCTTACATTCGTAGTTTTGTTAACCATTACCAAATTGTCATCTATAGATGCTATATATATTTGCCTTCCCCATAGAGGTGCATGCGTACTAGCCCTCAAGTTTGCACCGATATGGTATTCAGACTGATTGATGTTTCCTGATAAAAGAGATGGAAAAATATCTATGTAATGTTTAAAAAAATTACAGTTTATTGCCAGGTGTAGTGGTGCATGCCTTCAATCCCAGCACTTGGAAGGCAGAGGCATATCGATCTCTGTGCCTGGTCTACAGAGCTAGTTCTAGGCCAGGGTAGTTACACAGAGAAGTCATGTCTCGAAAAACAAAACCAAACAATTATAGTTTTATAGTTTATTTACTAATTTAGTGTGTGTGTGAAATGCCGTAGCATGTACAAGGTCAGAAGACAACTTGCAGTGGTCAGTTTTATTTCTCCACCATGTCAATCCTAGGGGAAATAGTCTTTGACATAAATTGAGACAGTTTCCCAGTTTATTCTCATTCTCATCATGGTATATTTCTAATTTTGCTTCTAGTGACTTTCTCTAATGACACCAATCTCCATTTGGGACATTTTAAGTTGTTGTCTTAATCTAGGGTTTTTTGTTTTGTTTTGTTTTTGTTGTTGTTTGTTTGTTTTTTGAGACAGGGTTTCTCTGTAGCTTTGGAGCCTGTACTGGAACTAGTTCTTATAGGCTGGTCTCGAACTTAAAGAGATTTACCTGCCTCTGCCTCCCAAGTGCTGGAATTAAAGGCGTGCACCACCACCACCCGGCTGTCTTAGTTTATTTCACATATGGCTAGATAGTGTTATGTATAAAAACTTGGGTCTTGTTTGTCTCCCTTTAAAACTATTTAGAGATAGGAATTGTTATTCCCATTTTATAGATGTAAAAATTAAGACTTGCTAAAAGACATGAAATTACTAAAATATCAAAATTATACTATTAGGAATACTTGTAAGAGCTATAACTTCATAAATGTTTATCATAAGGAAAACTAAACAAATGTAGCAAGAGAAACTCAAAAATTCAAAGTCTAATCACAGAGATAGCAATAGAAAATATTTTAATCATAAAATAGTACTCTTAAAAATTACTGATAATGAGTTTGTAGTTATATAATGCTTTTAAAATATTCAGAAGGAACTTAAGGACGGTTATGAGTTGTCATGTTGGTGCTGAGAAGTAAATCTGAGTCCTCTGCAAGAGCCGTAAGTGTTCTTAATTGTTGAGCCATCTCTTCAGTCCCATCTTTATGGAGTTGTAATGATTAAACTGAATTTGATTAAATTGCTTAGTGCAACACTTAGGGCTGCCCATAGGGACCATACTTCTTTAACAGTCCTTTCTGGTTGTGTGTATGTCTGTGTGTGTGTAGAGATTGGAGGCCAGAGGTTGACTTTGTCTTATTTTTCACTTAGAAAAAAATCAACACACTTCAGAAACATTTATGTATTTATTTATTTTGGGTGTGCCCCAAACACATGATTGGAGGTCAGAGGACAGCTTGTGGGAATCAGTTCTTTTGTTCGTTGCTTCACTGAGGGTCTGGGAACTGGACTCTGCTTCTTTAGCAGTACATGCTCTTAACTTTTGAACTATATCTCTTTAGTTCCCTAAATCAACAAATTCTGTTATGAACAAATTCTGTTATGTGGACACTAGGTGTCAGTGTTTCTCTCTCTCTCTCTCTCTCTCTCTCTCTCTCTCTCTCTCTCTCTCTCTCTCTCTCTCTCTTTTTTTTTTTTTTGGATTTTTTGAGACAGGGTTTCTCCGTAGCTTTTTGGTTCCTGTCCTGGAATATTTTTTTATTGTTGCTGTATTTTAACGATAAGGTTTTCAGAAAGTTACATTTTACTTGTGTGTGTGTGTGTGTGTGTGTATGCGCGCGTGCGGCGCCGCACATGTGTGTAGGTCAGAGAATAACTTGTGTGAAGTCAATCCTCTCCTTTGCTGTATGAGTCCCAGGGATCAGACTCAGGTTGTCAGACTTGGTAGCAAGCGCCCTTTTCCACTGAACCATCTTGCTGACCCATTGGTGCTGTAGTATTTATTGTTCAACCTTGATGTGTTGTAACCACATTTCCAGTCATTGTAAACTTACCTTCTTTTTGATTATAGATTCAGTTTTCTTCCTTTCTTCTCTGTTCACTTCTTCCTCTCCTTTTAAATTTTATCGTTTATTGAAATCATACAGGGATGCCTAACTTTTTGGGGGTATTGATAAAATGTTAAGAAACCCTGAAAACTTCGATCAAGTAGCTAAAGAAGATTTTCCTGGAAGAAGTGTCATAGCCAAGATACGTTCTCAGGAATCCCATTTAAGGTAGCATTAGTTGCTTTCTTCATGGAACTCATTAAATAGACCAGGTTAACTTTGAACTCACAGTGATCTGCCTGCCTCTGCCTCCCAAGTGTTGGCATTTAAGGTGTGTGGCTCTATTGTCTGGCATATTATTTTGTTTTGCTTTTTAGACAGGGTCTCTACATAGCTCTGGCTGTCTAGGTACTTGATAGTAGATCAGGATGGCCTTGAGCTCTCATATATTGCCTGCCTTTACCTCCCAAGTGCAAGGATAAAAGGCTGGAACCACCATACCTGGTCTTTGTTTTGTTTTGGTTTCTGAGGCAGGATTTCACTGTGTAGCCTTGGCTATCCTGGAATTCACTCGTAGATCAGCCTGGCCTTAAACTCATAGAGATATGTCTGCCTCTGCCTCCCAAGTTTTGGTATTGCAGGCATATGCCACCACACCCAGCATATTTTATTCTTACTACTAACTGTTAAATGATAATTTTGAATAATTAGATTTTTCTTTTAAAGGAGGAAATTAGGACTGAGGAGAACACTCAATTGGAACTGATTGCCATATAAACCTGAGGATTTGAATTCCATCCCCAGAACTCATGGGAGAAAAAAAAGGCTGGGTATGGTGGCTGACACTCAGTTTTAAGTTTAACACTAGAGAGTTATAGACAGGTGAATGGAGACCTGGGACTGACAAGTCTACTTGGGGTGCTTCAGGCTGATGAGAGAGGCTGTCTTCAGAAACAAGGTGCTTGTTACCACCAAGAAAGAGGGATCTGATGACCTAAATTTGATTCCCAGAATGCAGATGGCAGAAAGGGAAAACTGACTCTTGCAACTTGCCCTCTGACCTCCTGTGTACCAGTGACATGTGCAGTCCTTCCCCAAAGATAAACAAATGTAAAATAAAACAAAAATAGCAAAAAATAAACAACAGCAACAACAACAACAAAAAACCCAACATGCGTATGGCCTAGTGTGGTAGTGTGTGCCTTTAGTCCCAGAAAAGAATCTCTGAGCTGGAGGCTAGCCTGGTCTACATATAGTGAGACTCTGTGACAAACAAAATATAGCAAAAGTGAACACAGTAACCCAAGGTGGATAGCTGCTGAGGAATGACACCCAGGGTTGACCTCTGTCTCCCATATGCACATATAAACATGCACAAAATAGATAATAATAAGGAAGAACTAAGTTCATCTATGTATTTAGGATGTTTCCTGTTTCTTTACAGTCTTCCCAAGGTCTATTTGTTGAAGAAACTTCAGAAGAAGTTCTGAAGAGTTCTGAAGAAGGAAATTGTGTGCCTGTCTCACAAAGGTAAGGTTGTATTTTCCTGTGGGTTTCAGGTCTCTTTGTATGGTATATGCATAAGGATTAACCCCTTGAAAGAGACTAACATGGACAACTTGCCAGGGAGCTTTATCTTTATGTGTCAGGACTGGAAATCTAAGTTCTCAAATAGGCACCCCCTTCCTGCTCTTTTTCATTTGTTTTTTGTTTTTCAAGACAGGATTTCCCTGTGTAACAGTTCTGACTGTCTTAGAACTCTCTGCATAGACCAGGTTGGCCTGGAACTCAGAGATCCGCCTGCCTCTCTTGGAATTAAAGGCAAACGTTACCGCTGCACAGTGCAAATATGCATCTCTTAGAAGCCTAAAGTGTTAAGCCTGGAAGAGATCATAAAGGTTTTCTTACCTACTCTAGTCATCTTGATATAATTTTTTCCTGGTTTATTTCTTGCTGTTCTGTAATCCTAGCTTCCTAGACAATTTCTTTAAGGCTTGTCTTCCTGTCTTCTTTCTCCTTTGGTTCTCTCTGTTTATGTTACTTTTTCCTTTCAGATTAATACACAGATAATAGGTTTTATGTCATCTCCTCATATTTGTGTAATTGTTCTGATTCACTTGGCCTCTCTCACTGTCTTCTCTGTGCCTCCCCTGCCCAGCTATACCCTTTCTTCTGGTTAGTCCATTACTCTCTCTGTTTCTCATGATCTCCTTACTAGTTTCATGCTCTACAAACATATATATATATATATTAACATGTATTTATTACATATTAGATTTATATGCAGTGTTTTGCTTATGAGAGAACATGGTGTATAGTCTTTGTTTTTCTGAATCTGCTTATTTTAACAGGGACCTTGCACCCATATTTTTTGCAAATGTCATGATTTCATTTTTCTTTATAGCTGTACAAAATTCCATTGCGTGTACATACCTTGTTTGTCTTCTATTCATTGATTAAAATCTAGGCTGATTCCATTTCTTGGTTATTGTGAATAGTGTGGCTTTAAACATGGATTTACAAGTATCTCTGTGGTCTGTTGACATTTCTTTGAGTGCATAGATATAATGTAGCTGGATTGTATGGTAATTCTGTTCTCTCTCTCACTCTCTTTTGCCCGCCCTCCCTCCCTCCCTCCCTCCTATCCCCACCTCTCTCTCTCTCTTTCTCTTTGCCCTTCCTCCCGTCTTTCCTTTCATCTTTCTGTCTGTCTTTCTTAGAACTTCCATATTGATAGTGGCTATAAAATTTAAATCTTGCCTGGTGGTGATTGCACGTGCCTTTAATCCCAGCACTCGGGAGGCAGAGGCAGGCAGATTTCTGTGAGTTGGAGGCCAGCCTGGTCAATAGAGCGAGTTCCAGGACAGGCACCAAAGCTAGACCGAGAAACCCTGTCTCGAAAAAAATCAATCAACCAACCAACCAGTCAATCAGTTAAATTAAATTTTTTTAATTGTTTTTATTAAGCTATACATTTTTTTTTTTT